ACAGAGAGGTTGATATATGGGAGAAATTCCTCCCTGTGAGGGTGTGAGGCCCTGGCACAGGTGCCCAGAGCAGCTGTGGATGCCCCTGGCTGTGCCCAAGGCCGGGCTGGACAGAACTTGGAGCAGCCTGGGACAGTGGGAGGCGTCCCCATGGCAGGGGGGTGGAACAAGATGATCTCTAAGGTCCCATCCAACCCAAAGCAATCCGTGACCCCACAATCCATGCACCCAGCCCTCCAGGAACATCCCAACCCCACAGCGCAGAGCCCACACCCTGCTTCAGCCCCTCTTTGGCTCTAAAGGCAGAGCGTGCCCAGGAATTTCAGGAACACATCAGAAAACATGCCCGGACCCCAAAAACTCAGCAAGGGCTTGGGCAGGCAGGCTCACCTGCAGGAAGAGCTCCAGCAGGTGCAGGTAGTAGGGCTGCTGCCCACAGTAGCTCCTGAGCAGCCGGTACACCGAGGACTCCAGCAGGAAAGCGTCATTGATGGCGTCCAGCCCGATGCCCTCCTGCACCAGGGAGGCAGGGGGGTGTCCCAAAGCCTCCTGACCCCCAGGGGACACCCCCCAGCCGTGAGCACCCCCTCCTGAACGCTCTCACCTTCTTGTACCAGCAGAGCTGCCCCCGGCGGGTCAGCGACGCGTCCATGATGTCGTCGGCCACCAGGAAAAAGGCCTGGAACTGAGGGGGGCTGCCTTAGGGATGGGGGGACCCCGGGGGGCACAGCCCCAGGGGTCCCATCCCCCAGGGGTCACAGACCCTCCCCAGAAAGGGTCCCATCCCCAGAGTGTCCCAGCTCCCAGGGAAGTCTCCCCAGCCCCAGGGGGGGGTCTTATCCTCCGGGGGCCGGGGGTCCCATCCCCAGAGGGGTCCCGTCCCATCCTCCAGGGGGGGTCAGGAGGGGTCCCACTCTCAGGGAGGGTCCCATCCCCGAGGGTTCCATCCCCATGGGGGCCCATCCTCCAGGGGCCGGGCGTCCCATCCCCAGAGGGGTCCCATCCTCCCGGGGGGGGTCCTACCCTCAGGGTGGGACAGGGGGGCTCCCACTCTCAGACGGGGGAGTCCCATCCCAGGGGGGTCCCATCCTCCAGGGGGGGTCAGGAGGGGTCCCACTCTCAGAGGGGAGGGTCCCATCCCAGGGGGGTCCCACTCCCGGGGGGTCCCCACTCCCGGGGGGGGTCCCACTCCCGGGGGGGCGGGGTCTCACTCCCGGGGGGGTCCCACTCCCGGGGGGGTCCCCACTCCCAGGGGGTGTCCCACTCCCAGGGGGGGGTCCCACTTCTCACCAGCTCGATGCACCAGCCCACGGCCAGTGCGCGGCGGAGGCTCTCCGGGTCCTGCCGCTCGGGGCCCGCCAGCCGCCGGAACGCGGCCACCACCGTCAGCCCCCGGTTGCACTTCCCGCCCGGAGCGTTGTACTCCAGCACCTGCGGGAGCGCGCCCAGGTGAGCAGCTCTTCCCAGCCCCGGTCCCACCGGCCCTTCCCACCCCCCAGCCCCGGTCCCGCCGCCCCCTTCCCGTTCTCACCTGCTTCAGGCGCGCCACGGCGTCTCCCACCTCCGCGTGTCCCAGCATGTCCTCCGTCAGGTCGCGGACGATCTGCGGGAAGAAGGCGTTGAACTCCTGGCGCTCGGCCGCCGCCCTGGCCGCGCTGCGGACACCGTTCATGGTGCCGCCTCACGCCTCACGGTCCCGCCGCTGCCGCCCGCGACCTCCACAGCGCCTCCGGCCCCGCCCCCGCCCCGCCCCCCGCGCGGGGCACGCCGGGACGCGCAGTCCCGAGGCGCGGGTGCGGCCGCTGTTACGCGCGCCGTTGGACTACAACTCCCAGTGTACCCCGCGCATGGGGGAGGGCCAGCGGGCAGGCGGCTGGAGCAGAGCCCATTGGCCCGTTTTATCGCGCGAGGATGAGCCCAAGGCGGCTGAGCCAATAGAAGCTCGGCGGGGGCGGGAGCGAGCTTGGTGATTGGTGGAGAGGGGGAAAGGAGAGCGTGCCCGGCGTGGCGCGGGGGCGTGGCTGGGCTTGGGGGCGTGGCTGGAGGGCGTGGCTTGGGGCGGGGCGTGCTCGGTAACCGGGAGGGGAATGGGGGGCGCGGGCACCCGGACGGGGACAGGGCTGCGCTGGAACCGGGGCAGAACGGGGCAGAACGGGGCTGGGGGTGCCGCTGTGGGGTGCCGTGAGGCTGGGGGTGCAGTGTAGGTGTGGGGCGCCATGCAGCTGACATGCTGTGCGGGTGTGGGGTGCAGAGCAGTTATAGGGTACAGAGGTTATAGAGTGCAGAGCCGGTGTGGGGTGCAGAGCAGTTATGGGGTACAGAGGTTATAGGGTACAGAGCGGCTGTGGGGTGTGGTGCAGTTATGGGGTGCAGAGCCGGTGTGGGGTGCAGAGCAGTTATGGGGTACAGAGCAGTTATGGGGTACAGAGGTTATGCGGTACAGAGCAGTTATGGGGTGCAGGGCAGTTATGGGGCACAGAGCAGTTATGGGGCGCAGAGCTGTTATGGGGTGTGCCGCACACTGTGTGGGTGCTGTGCAGGTGTGCGGCACAGAGCAGTTATGGGGTGCAGGGCAGTTATGGGATGCAGAGCAGTTATGGGGTGCAGGGCTGTTATGGGGTGCAGGGCAGTTATGGGGTGTGCTGCGCACTGTGTGGGCGCTGTGCAGGTGTGGGGCACAGAGCAGTTATGGGGTGTGCCGCACACTGTGTGGGTGCTGTGCAGGTGTGTCTCTGCGCAGGTACAGGGCGCAGTACAGGTGTGGCGGGTGGGTTTCACCACACGCCCGTGTGCCCCCGGGTTCCGGGGGGGGTCCAGCTGCCCATCGACCCTCGAGGGGACGCCGCAGGGGTGACCCGGGCCGGGCACACGCGGTGACACCTTCCCGCTGCTGCCCGCAGCTCCCTGCCCCGCAGTTTGGCTCCCGCCCCGAATCCCCTAATCCCGGCTCACCCGCGTTAATTAATCTCTCTGTGGTGCCCTCTAATCCCCCTCCCGCCGCCACCGGGACGCGGGGGCTCGGGGCACAGCCTCCGGCTCCAGGCCGGGTGTCCTTGGGGAGGGGGAAGCGGGGACGGGCGGGGGGCTCTGTCCGCATCTCCGGGGCTCTGCGGGACCCTCGTGTCCCGGCGCTTTGCCCCCAGCACCGGGCGGGCAGCGGGGCTCCGCCGTGACCCGGGGGTCCCTCTGCCTCGGCCGCCAGCCCCGCCGATGGACACAAAGTGGGTGGAAGAGTGTTGGAATAGCGATAGGAAATATGCTGGAATTCATTCCCAAAAAATGCTCTTTTTGCCCTGTGCCCCCTTAATCAGGCTGGCTGCGGTGTAATCTGAAATAATCAAATTAGAGAAAAACTGTTAATCAGCGCTGAGCTCTTCGTGTGTCACGGAGCCTAATTCCTGCGGGGAGCGGGGGGGGACCGCCAGCACCGTCCTGGGGGCCGGGACTGCCCGGTAAGGGGCAGGGGCTGCCCGGTAACGGGCAGGGGCTGCCCGGTAACGTGGGGCTGCGGGCAGGGGCTGCCCCGGTAACGGGCCAGGGCTGCCCCGGTAACGTGGGGCTGCCCCGGTAACGGGCCAGGACTATCCGGTAACGTGGGGCTGCAGGCCGGGGCTGCCCCGGTAACTCAGGGCTGTGGGCAGGGAGACTGCTCCGGTAACGGGCAGGGGCTGCCCCAGTAACGATGGGCTGTGGGTCGAGAGTCTGTCCCGGTAACGGGCACGGGCTGCCCCAGTAACGATGGGCTGTGGGTCGAGAGACTGTCCCGGTAACGGGCAGGGGCTGCGGGCAGGGACTGCCCCGGTAACGCGGGGCTGTGGGCAGGGAGACTGCCCCGGTAACGGGCAGGGGCTGCCCCGGTAACTCACCAGGGCTGCCCCGGTAATGTGGGGCTGCCCCGGTAACGGGCCAGGACTATCCGGTAACGTGGGGCTGCAGGCCGGGGCTGCCCCGGTAACTCAGGGCTGTGGGCAGGGAGACTGCTCCGGTAACGGGCAGGGGCTGCCCCAGTAACGATGGGCTGTGGGTCGAGAGACTGTCCCGGTAACGGGCAGGGGCTGCCCCGGTAACTCAGGGCTGCGGGCAGGGGCTGCCCCGGTAACGGACACGGGCTGCCCCAGTAACGATGGGCTGTGGGTCGAGAGACTGCCCCGGTAACGGGCAGGGGCTGCCCCGGTAACTCAGGGCTGCGGGCAGGGGCTGCCCCGGTAACGGACACGGGCTGCCCCAGTAACGATGGGCTGTGGGTCGAGAGACTGCCCCGGTAACGGGCAGGGGCTGCCCCGGTAACTCAGGGCTGCGGGCAGGGGCTGCCCCGGTAACGCGGGGCTGCGGTGGCGAGACCGGGCAGGGCACAGCGCGATGGCCACCAAGCTCCTGCGTCCTGCCAGCCACCGTGTCCCGCCCGGGGGGCAGCGGCAGGTGACGAGGGAGCGGCCAGGGCACGGCTGTGCCCCGAGACCCGCGCCCGGTGCCGCAGTGCCGGTGGCTCGGGTGCCCCGGCCCACCTTGCGCTGTGTGACCTTCGTTTAATCGCGTTAATGCCTCGAGTGCTGCTCTGCAATCAGGCGGTATCAAACCCGCCCATCCCCCCGGCAATAAAGGGAACGGAGATGGAAGGGGAAAATAACCAAAGATTAAACATTAATCTGCCCACTGCCGAAAGGGACCGGGGTGGGCGGGAGGGGACCCGTTGTCTTTGGGCTCCTGCCACGCCACCCAGGTCTGTGGGGCCCGGGGGAGGCCCCTCGGTGGCTCCCGAGGGTTTCCCGGCTGCTCCCGGCTCTGCAGAAGGCCAGGATTGGAGCTGGGGTGCTGCAGCATCCCCCTGTCCTTCCTCATCCTCGCGCGGGGAGCTGTGGGGTCGCAGGAGGTGCAGAAGGAGTTTCTCCCAGACAAGCTCAGAATCTCTCTTTATTATTTAAATCCGTTATGTACAAGGACCAAAAAATAAAAAAAACGCTCTTAAATTCTCTGCGATATGAAAACTACAAGCTCTGTACATGGACTGCCGTGAGTGCAAGAGTGGAGGATCATGGTCTTTGGTGGCTAAACTTGCGCCCGCGCACCCCCAGCCCCTCCAGCCTCCCCCGGGGTGGGCACCGGGCCACGGGGTGGGCACCGGCCACGAGGTGGGCAGCGGGCCACGAGGTGGGCAGCGGGCCACGAGGTGCCACGGCGGCGGGGACAGGAGCGCAGGGTGGCTCTGGCTCCCGACACGGCGCCGGGCGGTGGCAGCTCGGTGCTGTCCGAGCCGGCCCGCACGCTCTGCGGGGCGCGGGGGTGACCGCTAAGACATCGACATCACGCAGTGTGAACACAGCCCGGGGACTTGGGACAGCGCGGCTCCGCTGCAGGTCCCCGCCCGACGGGGACGCACCGAGCGCGGGGATGGAGCGGGACGAGGGGGTGAGCAGGGCAGGGCGGTTGAAATCCATGGGAAAAGGCAGTGCAGGACATCCCCTCTGGCAGGCACTGCCGGGATTCCTGATGGGCTGGTGCTCCCAGAGCAGCTCCGCACTGCTCCCGACGCCCCAAAACACGAGGGTGGAGAACGGGACACCTCACTTCGGGAAGGACCGCGGGGAACGAGACCTCGCCCGCTGCTCTGGGGGGTCCGGCGGGGCCCCGCTCAGCTCCAGAGCTCGAAGACAAGCCGGGGTTCCTGACTCCGGGAGTGGGAAGCAGCTGGCGCAGCGCGGTGGGGACGGAGGGGACGCTACTCTAACCAGGACTGAACACGGCTGGCCCAAAGCGACGCTGGAAGCAGAGCTCGGCTGCTTGGCAGAGCCACGACTCGCATACACATTGCACACTACTATCTCTGGAGGGGGGGGGAGTGGGGCATCTGTGGGGACCCCGGGCTCCTGTTGGACGGGGGGTGACCCCACAGCCCCACACGTCACCCAGGCGCTGACCGGGATTGGCATCTCGTTGTGGCAGCCTTTTGTTCCTGTGGCACCGGTGACTGGCATCTCCAGGTGACCTGGGAATGGGACTGCAGCGCAGGGCAGGGGAGCAGAGCCCGGGCTGAGCATCGTCCTGGAGCCACAGGCAGTGGGGTCCCCTTGGAGTGACCCTCTGAGCATCCTCCTGGAGCTGCAGGCAGTGGGGTCCCCTTGGAGTGACCCTCTGAGCATCCTCCTGGAGCCACAGAAGGGTCATCCCAAATGATTTTCTGGACAGCATCCTGGAGTCACAGGGGGATCCCCTTGGAGTGACCCTCTGAGCATCCTCTTGGAGCTGCAGGCAGCAGAATCCCCCCAGGCTGCCCCCATGGGGGCCCGTGGAGGGGCAGCCACAGTGCCCGGGCGTGGGGCAGAGCCCTGCCCAGCAGCACATCCCAACCTCGCTGGCACTCAGCACCTCTGAGGCAAAACGGTCCCACAAGATGGGGAGAGGGACTGGGGGGCTGCTCCTCTGCCCCCCAGCGCTGCCCCTTGGCACTCGTCACACCAGGGGAGCCCTGCCCAGGACCCCCAGGTGGTCCTGGCACTCTGGGAAGGGGCAGTGCTGACCGCGGACCCCCATGCCCCTGGCACGGGCTCCAGCCTCCTCCCTCCACCCGGGCAGAGGACCTGGGGGGTGCCTCTGCCTCCTCACCCTAAAGGCAAAGGGGCTGGGCAGAGCAGTCTGGGGATCGAGGTGGGCATCGGGCAGCCCCTGCTGTGACAGAGGACGAGCTGGAGGAGCTGCCAGCGTCAGCCTGCCCCGAGGACAGGCTGTGGGACACGCGGCACAGAGCGTGGGGGGCCCAGCCCCCGAGGGGCAGTTGTGGGGAGCTGAGCTCCCCAGAAAGGCCAGAGTTTGGGCGAGGGCTCTGACCTGTCCTGTGCCTCCGGCAGGAGGGCAGAACTCACAGATGGCGATGAGCCAGGAGGGCAGAGCCTGGGCAGGGTGACTCCCTTGGGGCAGTCAGCAGAGCCCCCCTCCTCATCCAGCTGGGCCAGCTCTGGGGCTGGCCCATGCCCATCCCTGCCGTGTCCCCGTGCCTCAAACAGCCCCTCCACGGCCCCGGCTGGTGCCTCTCACCTCATTTTCCCTCCCGCACGGCGGGGCTGGTGCTCTGCTCCCCCGCCTCCTGCGCCGCCGGGACGCCCGGCTCCCTCCTGCCCGCGCGGCTGCCTCCAGGACTCACATGTTGGACGGGAGTTTGGGCTTCGCCGTTTCCACCTCGGGGCTGAAGGCCACGGAGCCCTTGCGGGAGGGACCTGCCGCCTGCCTGGACGCGGAGCCCGGGGACTGGGGCGTGGGCGCTCCCGCGGAGCGGCCGGGCTGAGCCAGCGCTCCCGAAGGGTGTGCGGGCTGGCCGGGCATCCCCGCACACGGCTTGGCCAGCAGTCCGGCTACCGAGGGCGAGGACCTGCGGGCCAGGTTCCCTGCAGATTTCCTGCCCTGCTTCAAGGAGCTGCCGTCGGCTTGCTGGGCCACTTTGTTGGGAAGGGAGGGCTGGGAGGCAGAGAGGAGCCGGACATCCTGCGTGAGCCGCCCCACCGGCAGCCCCTGGATGCTCCTGTGCTTCACCAGCTGCTGGGGCTGCATCAGGAGCGAGATGTGGGAGCCGGTGGCTCGGGACAGGCTGTAGTGGAGCGTTCTCCCCGGCGGCAGCGCCTGCTCCGAGCTGGGGGACGCAGCGCCCGCCGCTTGCTGCAGCAGCGAGGTGGAGAGCGAGGCGCCGCGGGACCGGGACAGCTGGGGCTGGGGGCCGCCGGGGGGCTGCTTGGGCCCCGCTGGCATCTCCCCCCTCTGCGCAGTGCGGGGCAGGGGCTGCGCCCCCGGGCTGGGTCTCTGGCCCCCGCTCTCCAGCGGCGCCTGGGGCTGGACCATGGGCGAGGAAGGCGAACCGGCGGCCGGTGTGTGCAGGTGGGACGGAGCCCCGGAGGGAGAGCTCACGGAGGAGGGCCGGGAGCCCCCCAGGCTGGGCTGGGAGCGGCGCACCGGCTTGGTGAGCAGGGTGGCTTCGGGAGAGAGCGGGCTGGAGATGGAGGAGGGCGGCAGGAAGATGTGAGCCTGCAGGCTGTGCTGGTGGGTCAGCGCGATGGCCACGTTGGTGGTGGCGGCGGCTGTTTGCAGCGGGGCGTGCACCAGAGGCTCCCAAATCACCGGCTTGCCGCTCAGCTCCCGGCCCATCGCCATCTGCTGCAGGTCCTGGATGTTGTGGGCCATGTCCTGGTCGTGCTTCACGATCTGCTGGATCATCTCGTTGTTTAGGGGTCCCGAGCTGTGCTCGGCTCTCTTGCGGAGCAGGATGGAGTTCTTCTTCCCTGGAGGGGAGGCAGGAGTGTCACCGACCCTTGGGGACAGTGTGGAGGGCAGGGTGGCAGTGGGAAGGGACAATAAAATCTCGGAGTTCCAGGGGAAGCAAGACCCTGGGAAGGGTCCAGACTGGAGCAGTGGAAGCAGCAGGGACAAAACAGGAGAGTCCTGACCCCAAAGGGATGGGGGTCTGGGGTCCTGCTTGTCCTCCACAGGCAAGGGAGGGTGAGGACAAGCAGCTGGTCACTGCCAAACACTGCAGGTACTGTGCAGTGCAGTTACATATTCCCAGGGAAGCCTGTCCTGTGGCACTGCCTGGATCTTGCTGGGGGGGAGAGAGAGGGCAGGCTCCTTCCTCATGCTCCTCATCATCCTCATTGCTGGGCACCCACGGGGCTGGGGCACTCATGCCACCTCCATGACTCCACCACCCGTGGGTCTGTGGGCCCGTGGGCCCTGGAGGTGGCTGTGCTGAGCCCAGGGAGTCACTCCATGGTGACCCACTCCATGGTGACCCACTCCATGGGGTCCTCCAGGAGGAACCCACGGGGCTGAGGCACTGTGATCACCTCATCCTTACTCTGTGACTCCACCACCTGTGGGTCTGGGGGCCCATGGGCCCTGGGGGTGGCTGTAGAGGCGGCTGTGCTGAGCCCCGGGGCTCCCTCCATGGTGACCCACTCCATGGGGTCACTCCAGCCTGTCCTCCAGGAGGAACCCACGGGGCTGAGGCACTGTGATCACCTCATCCCAGCTCTGTGACTCCACCACCTGTGGGTCTGGGGGCCCATGGGCCCTGGGGGTGGCTGTAGAGGCGGCTGTGCTGAGCCCAGGGGCTCACTCCATGGTGACCCACTCCATGGGGTCACTCCAGCCTGTCCTCCAGGAGGAACCCACGGGGCTGAGGCACTGTGATCACCTCATCCCAGCTCTGTGACTCCACCACCTGTGGGTCTGGGGGCCCATGGGCCCTGGGGGTGGCTGTAGAGGCGGCTGTGCTGAGCCCAGGGGCTCACTCCATGTGGGCTGAGCCCAGGGGGTCACTCCAGCCTGTCCTCCAGGAGGAACCCACGGGGCTGAGGCACTGTGATCACCTCATCCCTACTCTGTGACTCCACCACCTGTGTTTCTCTGGTCCTGTGGGCCCTGGGGGTGGCTGTAGATGCGGCTGTGCTGAGCCCAGGGGCTCACTCCTCCTCACCTATGCGGTCCAGGCGGTCCATGGCCACGGTCTCGAAGGCCCTGCGCATCATGGGGTACTCCTCCAGCACCTCGTTGAAGTTGTCCACGGACAGGGAGTACAGGCGGCAGTAGGTGTCGGCTCTCACGCTGGCCGTGCGCCTGCCCCGCGTCAGGAGGCAGATCTCTGCAGGGACACGGGGCTGGGCTCAGGGGGACACAGCCATCCAGCCCCCTCCCAGCCCTGGAGCAGGATCAGGGCTGCCAGCACCCCAAAACTCTGCACAAAGCATGGCTCAGAGGCAGGGACAGACCCCACAGCCTGTCTCCTTGGCCAGGCACAGCATTTTCCTCCCTCTTCAGGCCATGGAGACACCCCCGGGTGTGGCTGCTGTGATGGCCTGGCCTGTTTCCCTCCCAGAGCTGTGCCTGTATCCTGTAAACTGGCTCAGATATTCTGCTCTGACCTCCTCTCCTCCCTGGCCAGCAGTGGATGCTCCCTGTGCCCCTGCTCCCTCTGCCCCAGCCAGACAGAACTGGGGTGAAGGCTTTGCCACTTTGACTGGATGCCAAGACTTTGGCACTGGGCAAGAGGAGATGAGCAAGCAGAAACATTAGGGATGCCCCAGCTTCTACTCGCAGGCAGCTTTTGCCCCCTACTCTGCCCACCAGCTCACCCCCAAAGTAGGAGCCATCAGACAGCTTTGTCTCCTTGTTGCCCTTGGTGAGGATGCTGACCACGCCGTGCTGGATGAAGTACATCTTTTTGCCCACGGTGCCCTCGCGGATGATGAAGTCCCCAGGCTGGAAGACCTCGAAGCGCAGCTTGGTCAGCATGGCTGTCACAAAGTTGGGGTCAGCGTTGGCAAACAGGGGCATGTTGGCCACCAGGTTGCGGCAGTTGAAGTTGATGATTTCCTGTGGGGTGAGGAGCAGCTCAGTGGGTGTAGCCACATTTCTCCCCACAGAGAAAAGCAAGGCACAACTCTTCCCAAGAATATTTCTGGGTTTCGCATTCTCTGAACCTCAGAGAAAGGAAAAACAATTCTTATCCCACTTGATGTGCCTGTGTTGTGCTGAAGTAGAATGCAATATGGAAATTGTTTACCCAAAGTGATGGGGTTTTGTTTCCTTGGCCTGTCAGGGCCAGGTGTGTGTATATGTCGGGACTGTCAGATGACAGTCACGAGATATTGAGCAGTTGTGTACAAAGTTGAGGACTTGGCAAATTCAGTTTAGATGTAATGTAATATCATATAGTATAAAAATAATAAAATTATTATTATTATTAAAATAAAGTTATAATAATTCTAAATATTATAACATTATTATAAAATATCATTATATATCGTTATATTAATACAATATAGTATAAATAATAAAATTATTATAATAAAAATAAATTAATAATAAATTTTAATAGTATAATAAAATTATTGTAATTAAATTATTGTAATAAAATTATTATAATAAAGATATTCTATATATTATTATATTAATATAATAGAGTAGAAATAATAATTAAATTAATTAACCTTCTGATATTATAG